ACGCCTTAATACATAGAGTAGGTCTAGGTACCGCAAACAAGACTATCTCTATATTTGCCACAATAACCATATTAAACACGATTTCTATTTTCTGTTTTTTTTTTTCAAACAACCTTCGGCGAGGGGGGGGGGGCGGCGGCAATCAAGGACTATCTCGACGTCGGCGCAGACATTGACTGCGTCATTAACTTCATTAACCGTTTTAGACACGTGCGATTTCTATTGTTGTGCTGTTTCATTAATATATCTGGAGTATCTGTCTACGAGAAAACAATTGCCTGCGGTTTTGAATTGTGTTTTAATCGCGACACATTAGTAGGGAGGGACACACATCTCTAATAGTTAAGTTCTCTTTTCGTTTATTCGATCATGTGGCTGCTTGGTCGAATGGTTAGAATACTGGGTTGCTGAGCGGGAGACCTGGGTTCGAATCCGCAGTAGTTAATTTTTTTTTTTAACCCGGACTAAAATAATATCATCATCTACTCTGTCGTGGTGACAGCACTAGCCATGTTGCCTTAATATTAAATTTAAAAAAAAAAAAGACAAGTAAATGGGTAAACCATTCGATAATTAAATTTGACCATTTCGCTTACTTATGATTACATTTTTAAACTTTCCGATTGCATGGTTATGCTAAAATTTTATAGATTTTCATTCTTTTCATTTAGATTTAGTTATTTCGTCTGCGTTGTAATTTTAAGCTGTGCTGTTTACCATGGCGTTCATTTCCTAATTATGGTGTTTTTTTCCTGTGTTATTTGCTTTTCAAGTGTTTTTTTTTTCTCTCTCCCAACTACTTCAATGAGGGAAAGAGTTGTCGGTGAATTTGGGGGGGGGGGGGTGGGGGCAAACTAATATGGGGCAAACTATTTACTGAGAGAGCTTTAAGTCACAGTAACTGCTTTACCCACTTAAAGTAGCAGCAGCAGTAATAGTTGTTACACCAGGGCTGTTACACCATAGTGCTCTCATGTGAAGACCGCCGTTAAGGTTATGGCTTTCTTCTGTCGGCAAGTGAAATTATACATCCTAACCTGACCAGTCTGTGGCGACAGCACTAGCCACGCGGAACTAAATCTTCTGGCTCACGACTCTCTGTCTACTCCGATGGTAACACAGATAGCAGTGACATTATTTTAGTAGTTGTACTGGTACTTGAAGGATGATGTGGTAAATATTACACTAGCCCCATTCACTACCTATTACAATTCCTGCTCCTGATTTTAGTCCAGATGGACAGGGATGTCAATGTCAGTTACAGCAACAACAAAAATATCGCCAGGTAATGATTTTCAAATATTTCGAAGAGGGAGAGAGCAGTAGTCGGTGGAAGAGGGGAGGGGGTAATGACTTAAATTTAAGAGAACTTAAAGAGCTTTACACGTGATTTTCAAGTTCTCATTACCTAATTTGTTTATATTTTACTAACGCTACCTCCGCTTTTCTATTTTTTACGACTTACTTTGTTATTTACAAGTACAGTTGTAGCTTTAATTCCGTCTCCTATAAAAATACAAACAGCTTTAGCATGTGATAACCAAATAACCACTTTTGTTACCGTGCTAATAGCACCATTTAAACGACCACTAATATAAAGACACAATTATATGGTGCGTGTTCCAAAGTTGGAAAACCAGACTATCTCTATATAAATGTGCAGAGAATGATTGCGACATTAACTATATTAGACAGGTGCGATTTCCATTGTCTTTCTTTTCCAAAAACCTTTGATGAGGGAGAGGGTAGTAGGTGGATTTAGTTGTGGGGTGGGGGGGGTGGGGTGGGGATCAAAGACTATCTTAAATTACGCCACAGCAACGCGTGGCCGGGTACAGCTAGTATGTAATAAATTTAAAAGCGCTAGAACATGAGCACCTCCCCAAATTTCTTTAGGGAAGAAGTGCGCCCCCCCCCCCTCCCAAATCCCCACCACATATAGGCGTTCTCTTCTCAAGCATTTGTTTATACATTTTATTTTATTTAAAATATATAATTTTAATTTTCCAATCAGCACATACAAATAATAGCAGTAATAATTATTATTGTGCAATTAATTTAGGCTCAAGAAATTGAGCCTCCTCCCATTTATTTTATAGGGCGAGAGCCTCAATGAGTTTGTGCCTTGTCTCGTTGTCTAGTAATAATATATAATAATTGTTATTATGCAAATAAAGAAGGTTTACGCGCCCTGCCTGTGGCCATAGAAAATATTTTCAAAGGCAGAACTTCCTTCCTCCCCACCCCCCCCCCCCCCCCCCCCCTTTTTTTTTCATATTTTTTTTTTTTTTGCGGCACGACTGAAACGAATAGAGTGTTGGTTCTGTGCCGACTTTTTCTTGTACGACTTCCTTCCGGATTTCGCCGTTTCTGGCAATTCGAACGGCCTTTCTCCAACGCCTTACTCGCGAGGTTAATAATTTAATGTTCCTATAATCAATCAGACTCATCCGCCTCATAAACATTATTGAAAATATTATTATTTATTTTTGTTTAATTTTCCCAAAATTCGACACTTGGGTGGAACAATGGCCTGATCTAAAACTGTTTGCAAGTAGCAGTTACTCGCAACATGTATTTTAGAGTACTGATTGTTAAGCTTTTCAGTCAGTAAAATAGAGAGCAGTTCTCTCAGATCAGCCTAAAAGAGTCAAAACTTATCATGATTTTCATAACTGACATTAGTAAATGTTATTACTAGCAAGTCACGAACAGCCTACCTAAACGAGAGATGTATAGAACCAATGCTGGTCGATGACTTTGATGTTTAGATTGCCAAATTAAAAATACCTTAACAATCTCCTATCTGCTTCAACAGTCTCTTGTCTTGTCTTGTCTTGTCCACAATTGCCTCACAGCGTAGTGAGGAGTCACAGTTTTCTATCCTGGGCTAGGTGTGTTGCACGTGTTGTTGTTAGTCCTTGTTGCCTCAGGATCTCTGATATATTGTCTATCCATCGTACTCTCGGTCTGCCTCTTGCTCTAGGGCAGTAGTGCTGTTCGTTGTATGCTCGTAGAGGCAGTTGGTCGGTTTGCATTCGCATCAAGTGGCCAAACCACTCTATTTGTTGCTTCTTTATGTATTGCAGGCATGGTGTGGTTCCTACAATTGCTCAAATGTTCTCGTTTCGAACTCTGTCTCTCCTTGTGACATTGGCAGCCTTCCGTAAGCATCTCATTTCGCACGTCGTGATCTTTTTCTCCTGGACCAGGTTTGGCATTGGTAGCAGAGGGTTGGTGTAAACATGCAATTTATCAGTTGTCGTTTTAGTGCCATAGTGATGCTTGGGTGTTTTAGCAGTGGGGAGAGTTGGTAAGTTACTGCGTTCGCCTTTTGACATCTTGCCTCAAGTTCCCTATCAATTCTTCCATCATCTGTGAAGATGCTCCCCAAGTATTTAAATTGCTGCACTTGTTTGAGCTTCAACAGTAAGTGGAGAAATTAGAGAACTGGGCAAAAAATGTGGGTGTAAAACTTGCATCGACACCTCTCTTATTTCCAGACGACGTTTAGTACTGTGGTGCATAGCGGCGTCTGTGGTTTAGATGCTTCGTAATGCCGGATTTGATCCCAGCTACGGGCGGGTTGTCTTGCATTGGTTTCCACAGCGGTACCGACAGCAACTGTTTAGTAGGAATGGCAAATTACTAAAAGTAAAATTTGCCTAGAAAAACCACAACAGCCACACACAACCGCTGGGGTTGGTTTTGCAATTGTAAAGGGTACGCAGTTAACTTCCTTATACAGAGGCATGTGAGCCACATACAGTAAGGCCGGGGATGACATCCTTTCTTTCCAGAGCACAAAGCCAGAGCATTATTGTCAAGGCCAGATGTTGCCATCGCATGCCATGTTACCCAAAAGGAAAGTTGGCATTACATTTGAAACAAAGTATGCTGCCGAAGGATCAGGAGAGCAGTGTTCTTCAGGTCAAAATGGACGCTAGGCACGGTGGCAAATGTTTTTTTTTACTTCTGCCAGGCGGTGGCCGTCGCATTTTTGTTCCATTTGTAGACTGGAAGCATATAGTTTCGTCGCCTAGCTTCTAAGTTGAGTGCATGGTGTGACACTGTGAGCTACGTGTGTTTTTCGTTGGCACAGGAGCGGAGCAACTATGGGATGACCCGTTTGCTATGAAGCTGAAACTAGGATTACCAGATTACCAGTGTTCTGTCTGTTCGCCTGTCTTCTCTCATAGACCAACTGCCAACCAAGGCTATGGGTCTGGTCTGCCCTGTCATGACAGTGTTTGTAGATTTCATTTCCTCGTCCTAGCATCAGTAAGGTTAATCTGCTTCCTCACGTACTTCTCCGTCCCGAGTTGTTGGCACAATGTGGGATGACAGGTTTTGTTAAGCCGTCCAACATTCTGTGATAACGGGGACAAAACTACCGACTACTGTCATGTGTGGGATGACACGTCAAGTTAATCTGTCCAACATTCTGTGATAACGGGGACAAAACTACCGACTACTGTCATGTGTGGGATGACACGTCAAGTTAATCTGTCCAACATTCTGTGATAACGGGTACAAAACTACCGACTACTGTTTTGTGTGGGATGACACGTTAAGTTAATTGGTCCAACATTCTGTGATAACGGGGACAAAACTACCGACTACTGTCATGTGTGGGATGACACGTCAAGTTAATCTGTCCAACATTCTGTGATAACGGGTACAAAACTACCGACTACTGTCATGTGTGGGATGACACGTTAAGTTAATCTGTCCAACATTCTGTGATAACGGGAACAAAACTACCGACTAACTGTCATGTGTGGGGATGACACGTTAAGTTAATCCTGTCCAACATTCTGTGATAACGGGTACAAAACTACCGACTACTGTCATGTGTGGGATGACACGTTAAGTTAATCTGTCCAACATTCTGTGATAACGGGTACAAAACTACCGACTACTGTCATGTGTGGGATGACACGTTAAGTTAATCTGTCCAACATTCTGTGATAACGGGGACAAAACTACCGACTACTGTCATGTGTGGGATGACACGTCAAGTTAATCTGTCTGTCAAAACATTCTGTGATAACGGTTAAATCTGTCCACAAACACTACCGACTACTGTCATGTGTGGGATGACACGTTAAGTTAATCTGTCCAACATTCTGTGATAACGGGACAAAAAACTACCGACTACTGTCATGTGTGGGATGACACGTTAAGTTAATCTGTCCAACATTCTGTGATAACGGGTACAAAACTACCGACTACTGTCATGTGTGGGATGACACGTTAAGTTAATCTGTCCAACATTCTGTGATAACGGGACAAAACTACCGACTACTGTCATGTGTGGGATGACACGTTAAGTTAATCTGTCCAACATTCTGTGATAACGGGGACAAAACTACCGACTACTGTCATGTGTGGGATGACACGTTAAGTTAATCTGTCCAACATTCTGTTGATAACGGGTACAAAAACCTACCGACTACTGTCATGTGTGGGATGACACGTTAAAGTTAATCTGTCCAACATTCTGTGATAACAAAACTACCGACTACTGTTATGTGTGGGATGACACGTTAAGTTAATCTGTCCAACATTCTGTGATAACGGGGACAAAACTACCGACTACTGTCATGTGTGGGATGACACGTTAAGTTAATCTGTCCAACATTCTGTGATAACGGGTACAAAACTACCGACTACTGTCATGTGTGGGATGACACGTTAAGTTAATCTGTCCAACATTCTGTGATAACGGGTACAAAACTACCGACTACTGTTATGTGTGGGATGACACGTTAAGTTAATCTGTCCAACATTCTGTGATAACGGGAACAAAACTACCGACTACTGTCATGTGTGGGATGACACGTTAAGTTAACCTGTCCAACATTCTGTGATAACGGGTACAAAACTACCGACTACTGTTATGTGTGGGATGACACGTTAAGTTAATCTGTCCAAAATTCTGTGATAACGGGTACAAAACTACCGACTACTGTCATGTGTGGGATGACACGTCAAGTTAATCTGTCCAACATTCTGTGATAACGGGGACAAAACTACTGACTACTGTCATGTGTGGGATGACACGTTAAGTTAATCTGTCCAACATTCTGTGATAACGGGGACAAAACTACCGACTACTGTCATGTGTGGGATGACACGTTAAGTTAATCTGTCCAACATTCTGTGATAACGGGTACAAAACTACCGACTACTGTTATGTGTGGGATGACACGTTAAGTTAATCTGTCCAACATTCTGTGATAACGGGTACAAAACTACCGACTACTGGTATGTGTGGGATGACACGTTAAGTTAATCTGTCCAACATTCTGTGATAACGGGAACAAAACTACCGACTACTGTTATGTGTGGGATGACACGTTAAGTTAATCGGTCCAACATTCTGTGATAACGGGTACAAAACTACCGACTACTGTTATGCGGAAGCTAGGTCACATCAGTCTAAAAAAAAAAAAAATGATGAACCACAAAACATTGTTTTGAGTTAACATTTTGTTTAATGGTCTACGGCTGCATCTTTTGGGTCAATAAAACTGATTTCGACAAGCCCAAATTAGTCGTCTATCACTTCAAGACTTTAGTTTTGTGTGCTCATCTGTTTTATTTGCGTATAGATTGTTGGTTCCACGTTTTCAGACAGATGCACTAGGACTTCGTTAATTAGTAGCTTTGTACGACATTTTGTCGGCTCTGTGGCTAAGTCGATGCGAACGCTTCGTAATGTCGGGTTCAATCCCAGCTGTGGGCCATGCGCCTTGCGTTGGTTCGACAGAGGTATCAAGAAAGCAATGGCAAATTACTGGACGTAAATTTGTCTAGAAAAACCACACAACAGCCAGGGGCTGTTGGGGTTGGTTCTGCAACGTCCTGTAAAGGATACGCAACTAACCATACGACATTTTGGTAAAAGTGAGTTTGACCCCCCCCCCCCTTTTTTTTCTCTCTTCTTTTATCCTCAGGACCTTATAATCCACACGGGGAAGATGCATGTTGTAAAATGGAGTTTACTGTGGGTAAAGCTGTGAAATTCGAGACATTAAAAGCTTTACACAAAAATAAATCAGGCTAGCTTTACACAAATATAATCAGGTCAGCTTTACATAAAACTGACAACACTTTGCACCATAATCTTTGTCTTGGTGATTGTTAGTCCCACTTTACCAGCATAGGGACAATCAGCCAAACGAAGACAGGGATTACAGTGTAAAATGTGCTTTGTGTAAAGCTGGCCTGATTGTATTAGTGTAAAGCTGGCCTTCTGCGCTTTGTGGGGTGTATTTCTTTTAACGCCCTACATTTCACAGTGTTACCACAGTAAACCTCATTTAAAGCAGCAGAATGCGCGTTTACGAGTGTGTTTGCTGGTGAGCCCTGAACCTCACACACAGTGTGTCCGCCAGTGTGTAGACCATGTGGCCTACATGAAATAAGCGTTTGCTGCAGATTTTTTCTCTCTTTGTATGTGAGCTAAAAATAGCGGCCGCCAGGCCAGGCCCCAGCGATCTGTACACGTTGACTGACACACTAGTGCACGCACAGGGAGCGCCCCCTCGCGCCGACGCACTTGCAAACGGATATGGTGGACGGCGGAGCATCATTTTCAACAAGACCTGCTTTTTATTCAGTTTCACAAGCCGCTGCTAGGTCAATTCAGGTAAGATACGACTAGAAACATGCAGTGTTTAGTTGTAACGTATATGATGGTGGATGTCCGGCACAGTTTCGTTCATTCAGCCAATGTGAATGGAGAAAAACGGTTCGCTCCTTCCTTCCTTAGCCCAGGCCTGGTGACGAGAGATGAGCTCTGTGCTGGTGCTTTTCTGACACTTTCAATGCGTTGTTTCGTGTAAGATACAGCTAGAAACATGCATTGTTGAGTTGTAACGTATATTGTGGTAACTGTGCGGCACAGTTGGTTCCTTGAGCAGATGAGTTGTGGAGAAAACAATGTGCTCCTTTCTTCGCTAGCTAGCCAGGCTGGCGACCAACTTGCTCGCCGTGTCCCTGTGCTCAGTGTGGCTGCCTACAACATCCGGGCGGTGAGGTGGCTGCCTGGACCTCCGTCGTTCCACTTGTCAAAGTCTCCACCCCCACCCCACTCTAACTCTACTTCGATTTGTCTGGGTTTTTTTTCTTTCTTCTGGAATACGCGTAATGTCATCTCATCTCTCTGATAGATGGGCAGATGGAAAAAAGGGAAACTTGGACGACTGAAGAACAGTATGAGTAGACATATACATTATATGGGAAGTGAAGGGATGTAAACTGATATGGGATAAAGGAAAACAGCAGACCGGCAGTAAATGGAGTGGGGACCACATGAGAATCATAGTGAATGCCTTAGCCTTATATGTCAGCAGTCACATATTCATAGTAACCCAGTTTTTCCCCACCATGGGAACCACTCCCCACGAAAAGGGTGGGTGGGTGGGTGGATTGTTAGAGGGTTACATACGGCATGATCATGATACGGGGCTTAAGCATTCTAGTTCTAGAAAGGTTTAGGTGGGGCATGGCACACACACACACAAAAACACGTTAGCAAACACTAATAGTCTCATCTGGTGGTGTTGGGTCTTCTGCCTGTTCTCCCTCCTTGGTTTTCCTTGTAATGATGTTGGTTAGTAGGTTTGATGACCAGTGGTCATCACACTGCAGGCTAGTGAGAACACATCAGCAAAACACAGATCAAAATGTTTGACACTCACATACCTGAAAGTAAAAGTTGACAAATGTAACATTATGATTATGGAAATAACCATTATTTTAGTCTTGTATCTTAAAAAGAGGAGCGGCTGGCTGAATGATTAGGACCCTGGGCTTTCAAGCTGGAGACCCGGGTTCAAATCCTCGGTAAGGCTGGGAATTTTTCCTGTCAGGGGCAGAATAAATCCTCACCTGCATAGTCGTGACAACAGCACTAGCTATGTGTACATAAATCCTTAGGCTCAAAGACCCCACCTACTACACCGCAAAAGTGGTATAATACAGGCAGTTTTTGGCAGTTAAAAAACATGACAAGGTTAAATACTATTAGTGCTAACCGAATCAGTCCTTACCTGCATAGGATTGCAGGTTACAACTGGCTGGTGTGGCTGTTACTGGTGTCCTTATTATTACAGGTTCTACTGGGTATCTGAACTATCTGAGATCTGCCTTGTTGTTCTGCTGCCCAGATTAAGGCTTTTTTAAATCTCATGTTGGTGTGATATTTAGGATACTTCAGCAGTGCCAAGGCACATTTAATGCTTTAGTTACAGTCATTTCAACCCAAGGCACATTTTATACTTTAGTTATAGTCATTTAAACAGTACCAAGGCACATCTCACTTTTTAGTTACAGATCTTCTAACAGTACCAAGGTAAGTTTCACACATTTAGTTGAAGACATTTAAAAAGTGCCAAGGCACATTTCACACTTTGGCTCTCCTTGCACTTTTGGACGCTAGCTGGACGGCTTAGGTCGGCTAAGTGGGAGTTCTCTCCCTTGGCCGCATTGAAAACAACGAGCGGGAAAGTCACGAATCAAATGACATTCTTACCTATCATCATCCGGGTGCGTGTAGGGTTGCGTAGTCATCATACGGTTGCGTATAGGGTTACCTATCATCATACGGTTGCGTGTAGGGCTGCGTAGGGTGTCTATCATCATCATACGGTTGCGTGTAGGGTTGCGAAGAGTGTGGGTTAGGGTTAGGGGTGGGGTTAGATGTTAAAACGGTGACGTAGAACTTCCAAATACTGGGCGACAATCTGATGCTTGTGGGAGTGGTGCCACTGGAAGTGTGCCAAATATGACGGCAATAGCGCGCGGCTGGTGCCCAATCGGTGGCGAATTGTCCGTGTCAGTAGCATCCACCATCCGTCGACTGTTTGCGTGTATATGTGACTGCGCGATTATAGGGAACTACGGCGTCAAAATTGTTACATCTAACGCTAAACCTAACCCTACTCCTAACTGTAACCCTAACCCTACCCCTACCCCTAATGCTACCCCTAACCCTAACCTGTCACCCTAACGCTACCCCTAATCCTACCGCTAACCCTAACCCTACCCGTAACCACGCAAATTTATCGGTCATTAAAGCATACAGATCGCCCCCCCCCCCAAAAAAAAAAAACCCAGATTTCCCCGCAGTGTCAAAAGAAAAACCCAGATCTGGGGGACACAACCAAGTATTGGCAGCCCTGATGTCGACCTCACTGTCTTGTTTGATTCGTGACTTTTCCGCGCCTTGTTTGCAATGCGGCCAAGGGAGAGACCTCACACTACGCCGACCTAAGCCGTCCAGCTAGCGTCCAAAGGTGCAAGGAGAGCCCACACTTTAGTTACAGACATTTCAACCTTGCCAAGGCACTTTTTACACTTTAGTTACAGACATTTCAAAAGTGCCAAGACACATTTCACACTTTAGTTACATACATTTCAGCAGTGTCAAAATACATTCCACACATTTCCTTACAGCATTTTAACAGTACCAAGGCACATTTCACACCTTTTGTTACATAAATTTCAGCATTGCCAAGGTAAGTTTCACACATTTCAACAGTGCCAAGATACATTTGACACATTTCCTTGCAGACATTTTAGCAGTGCCAAGGCATATTTCACACTTTAGTTACAGACATTTCAACAGTGCCAAGGCACATTTCACACTTTAGGTACAGACATTCTAAAAGTGACAAGGCAGATTTGACACATTTAGTTACAAACATTGAGAACAATGAGGTTTTGTGTTTGTATCTGCATTAAGTTGCATTACACTGTATTTTAATATTTCTGTAATGTACTGATACGAGAGAAGATGCTTGACAGTCTTGTTGCATGGCATGGAGGTGTGTCGGCACACGAACTGATACATGCTGCAGGAGATAGCAGATTATGGAGAGGCATGATCGCCCATGCCAGTCGGCATGATGATAATGTACTAGTATAAAGCGATGATTAAAATGTGCATTTTGGTTGTCAGTGACAAGATTTTATCTTTTCAGAGAAGGTTGCTGTTATTATATGGTTCTCTAAGCGAACTCTTGTTCCTTCCTTATGTCTTATGGATCCAAGATTGTTTAACTATATGCTGTCTTAATTGGTAGCTGCAGATTTTGCTTGATCAATCTTCAGGGCCATAAGATATAGGCATTTTAAATTACTGGGCATATTGAAGTTTGAACAACTGATCAACATCATGGCACAGGGGTAGTAACCCATCAGTGCTCCGTTCTTCTAATTCAAGTCTGAGTCCAAAGAAGCTGTGCACAGGTTCTGTAGCACCGGTGAGGATCCTGTAAAACTTTGGGTTCATTTTTTTTCACTCCAAATTTTGCCTGGGCAGCGCCGTTAGGCTACTCTTTTCGATTTCCAACTGCTACGGGATTTTTATGTGCGCAACAATGCACATGGGTATCCGATCTCACTACCCAGAGACTAGGGCTAATTACTAGAAGTCCAAGTCCACGTGAAAAAATCTCAGCCCTTACCGGGAATCAAACCCAAGACCTCTAGCACTCGAGGCGGACACCATGCCTCGAGACCACGCAGCCCCCTAGAGCACATAGAGCGGAGGTGAAATAAACTGGCCTTATGTGGGGAGGTGGTGGACAAAAAATGTTAGAGGAGCATAGGAAGAGATGTATATTGAGAGCTGATATTTAAAGCAACATGTGATAGTTCAAGCAGCACCTTGTTATTGGCACCTTATCATCTGTCCAGACAATCCTGTTATTTTATGATGTAGCCATGCATGCCAATCACAGCCCTTGGGGATGGTCTAGACTGGTTAAGACCAGAAACAAAGTTCCTTCTCTCCGTAAGAAGAAGGCCCAGCAGTATTGTAAAGACCCTGTGTTGCCCATGTATTATAATGCCTTTCTCAGTTGAGTGCTTTTTGTAATGACCCACATAGGACTACAGGTGACACCTGGCTGCTTTAGCCATTATAGGTGCTCATTGTTATAACTCCTTCAGGGGTTGAATGGAGTATCCATGATCTGCCTTGTTCATCTGCCGTCCAGATCGAGATTTACATTTGGAATTTTTGTGTGTTTAATCCAGAAACCATGCCTTTGGCTCTGTACTATGGATACCTCAACACTTTCGCCTTGATTCCATGATAGATACCATAAATCTGGGAGAAATGTGACTTTTCTGCCTACCCCTGTGAGTGAACTTGGACCACAAGGATTTCATCACCCAGTTGCCACTCAGTAAGGTTTAACCAACTGAGCTGGTGAGCAGGGTGAATACATTTAGAACAAATCATGCGGCAGAAGCTGTTGTATCAGAAAAGCAGTGCTCTGTTTGTTTGCTTGTTGGAACCTCCTTCTTATTCCAAGCAGCACCAGCTTCTTAAAAACATCAGATTATAAAGAAGACTGGAAGAGTCCTGAACTTTGATACCTGCTCCAGATCACTCCTGAAGATGTTGATGTCCCTAGATCTTTATAGAATGAAACAATGAAAATCTACTGCTACAGACAATAGATTCTATGATACTTAACCAATTTTAGTCAATGTTTGTGAAGGCTATTCTGATGTTGATTATTCTTTCTTTTGCAGTTCCCTTGTGAAAGTTGTTGATGCCAGGCCATCATGGATGAAGGAGTGTCAGTTGAAGAAGGGTCTCCAGAATCAGTTGATGGAGATACAACAGATACCCAGATATCAGTGGATCCATCAAGCATCAAGAATCGATCAAAACGAAAACCATCCAAAACTCAGATCAAACACATTGCTCCGAAGAATGGCAACTGTGACACTTCTAAATATGGAATGCAAAACATGGAAGATCTCTTTATTGATGTCACCCAAGGCATTTTTAGAGGAACACATGGACAGTTGGCACTGCCTGGGCCACAACCGCTAACGCCGCCTAGTGGGGCTGGCCCATCTCCTGTGAAACCTAGCACACCTAAACGGATTAGAAGATTATCTCAAACTTCGACAGGTTCAGCACTGAGCATCAGATCCCTATCGTCCAGACCCCCACCTAGCTATCCATGTGGTATCTGTGGGAAAGTATTCAGAGTTCCCAGTCGCTACGAAAGCCACATGCTTGGTCACAGCAAGGGAAAGCCTTTCTGTTGTAATACGTGTGGAAAGATGTTTTCCTCTCAGGACAAGCTGGATCATCATCTGCCAGTGCATAACACTGATAGGAAGGCATCCTTTGCTTGTGAACTTTGCAGCAAGGTATGGTACATAATTTCAAATAATTTGTTGTTACATGTAACAATGTAGGATACACAAATTTCCAGTGATTTAAAAATTTTTTTTTTTTAGTCACGGGTGATCTATGTAGGAATGTAGGTATAGAATTTCCAGTGATTCAGTGTCACTTGTGATCTGTGTAGCAAGGTACAGTTTCCAGTGACTTTTTGTAATATGTGAACTTTGTAACAAGATATTATAGTACACAGTGTCCAGTGATTAGTGTTACACATGAAGACTAGATAAAGTGATAGGCAAATTTGCTATCTTGTCTTGAGGACATTAAAGGATAGGAGCAACAAACCTGAAAATACACCACTGAAAACAGGATGTACTGACACACAGGCATGATAAAACATTGCAGTGTAACTCACTTTATGATGATGGACACGAATAACAATATTAAAAAAATTAAAAAAAAATTTTTAAACTGCCTTCATAGTTATACAGCCTGTAGAAAAGAGACATCACCTCTGCAGTTTAGAATTATTATTTTTTTAATCTTACTGCCTCGCTTAGATTTTGGAAATCACATGATGTACAACATTAGATTTCCAACCAGCACAAAACGTCTCATTTAGAGCATTTTGATCCCCACCCTATGCCACACTGCCAGACATCACTTTAAAATTAAACCTACAAAATGGTGAATGGATGAAAAAGACCCCAGCAGTGACCAGAAGAGATTAAATCAGAACTGAGGTCCTAAGAAGAAACAAGTCAACATAGAGCTGATACCCAGTGATCTACTTCTTCTTTATTTTTCTTGTTTACTGCTTCCGGTGTCAAGGAGATATAAGGTTCTGCTTCTTGCTCTTCTCGCTGCCTCATGCTGTTGTAAAGTTTCTGTGATGTTATCTTTCCATCTTGTTGTTGGTCTCCCTTGTACTCTACATCCTTCTCCTCTTTTGGTATGGTGTCTCAAGGCATTCTCTCTAACTAGGCAAGTCTGTGTGTATAATTTACAATTTGCACTGTGCCAGCCTTTTCATTTATTACCTCATTTCTAATTTTATCTCTTCTACTCAGCTCTGCTGCCCTTCTCAGACATCTCATTTCCATGGTTACTAATTTTCTGTTAATGATCTACAAAGAGAGAAAATAAAATTGTTTGCCTTCTTTGAGAGAATGGCTTGTTATGCAAGGCATTTACCAAAAGAAAAGAGTGATTTACCTGAGGTATATCAACACCATTGTGGAAAGATGAACTCAGCCAAACTCAACAGTAGTATCAAGTGAGGATGGTCTAGGTTGTCAGCAGAGAGGATGTGAAGAAGAAAAAATAGATTTTTGCAGCGTTAAGCAGTATTCCTTTTGTGCGTTTGATTTCACTTATCATATTCCTCAGTATTTCCACTGCTAAAAAACAGTCTCCTTAATCTGGCATGGTGCTTTTGAAGTAATTAAGGCCAGAATACTTTAGATGGTGTTTTTTTTTTTTTTTAACTGTGGGTAAGTCGTGATGAATGTAGTTTCCATTTATATTATAGTCATTTTATTGCCTATTTCATTGTTTGAAATTGTCAGTGTATTGTATTGGATGTAACTTTCTGTCAAATCAGGTGTGTGTGAACTGGAGAGCATACCTGTATCATTTAAAAGCCAAGCATACTGAATCTGGAGGCAAACGTTTTGCTTGCAGTGTGAGTATTGTCATTCATAACCTTTCTGGCTGTGTAATGATGTTTACTTTCAAACATAGCTTTCATGACTGTGTAATGATGTTTACTTTCAAACATAGCTTTCATGACTGTGTAATGATGTCTGCTGTCCGACATAATTGTCATGGCTGTGTAATGATGTTTACTGTCAAACGTAGCTGCTGTGGCTGTGTAATGATGTTTACTGTCAAACAAAGCTGCTGTGGCTGTGTAATGTTTACTGTTAATGTTTACTGTCAAACGTAGCTGCTGTGTAATGATGTTTGCTGTCAAACATAGCTGCTGTGGCTGTGTAATGATGTTTACTGTCAAACAAAGCTGCTGTGGCTGTGTAATGTTTACTGTTAATGTTTACTGTCAAATGTAGCTGCTGTGTAATGATGTTTACTGTCAAACATAGCTGCTGTGTAATGATGTTTACTGTCAAACGAAGCTGCTGTGTAATGATGTTTACTGTCAAACATAGCTGCTGTGGCTGTGTAATGATGTTTACTGTCAGATGTAGCTGTTGTGGCTGTGTAATGATGTTTACTGTCAAATGTAGCTGTTGTGGCTGTGTAATGATGTTTACTGTCAAATGTAGCTGTTGTGGCTGTGTAATGATGTTTACTGTCAAATGTAGCTGTTGTGGCTGTGTAATGATGTTTACTGTCAAATGTAGCTGTTGTTGCTGTGTAATGATGTTTACTGTCAAATGTAGCTGTTGTGCTGTGTAATGATGTTTACTGTCAAATGTAGCTGTTGTGGCTGTGTAATGATGTTTACTGTCAAACAGCTGTTGTGGTTGTGTAATGATGTTTACTGTCAAATGTAGCTGTTGTGGCTGTGTAATGATGTTTACTGTCAAACGTAGCTGTTGTGGCTGTGTAATTCTGTCTACTGACATAAACAACTGCCCTGGCTGTGTAGTGCTGTTTACTGTCAAACATAGCTGTCATGGCTGTGAAATGCTGTCATGGCTTTGTAATAATGTTTACTGTCAGACATAGCTGTTGTGGCTGTGTTATGCTGTCTACTATATCTTAATATTAAATTACGTGAGGCTGTCTCGTGTGGTTTTTGTTGTTGCTTGAAACATATTTTACATGGGGGGAAGGGGTGCTGAAGGACTTGATGTCCACCATGGGGTTTGAAGGTATCTGATTTTTCCCTAGATATCTTTCTATCTAATGCCTTTCTCAGCTTAATAATGTTAGGTGTCTCAAACACAGCTGATGCTCAGTTTCTGGGATAGTGTGTGCTTGTTAGCTTGCTGCATGGTGATACTGTTGAGTTTCAGCAAGTTGTTAACTCCATCTATTCATTTTCATCTTGGTCTTCCTCTGCCTCTTGATGTTTCCATTTTCATTGTGCTTGCAACCAGTGACGATGGGGTTCATTTTGACCAGATGACCAAACAATTTCAGTCTTTTTTTTTAAACAAATCTAATTACAGGTGTTGTTCCTGCCATTTTAATCCCTGGATATGATTGGGTTTATTGAATAAACTGATGGTTTCTGATATCATATCTGCGGATACCTTGCTTTCATAGATGAGTGATAACTTTCCAGGTATGTTTGTGAATGAGCAGATGGACCGTAGTGTATCAGTAAACAGAACTGCTCATACAGGTTTCAGAGTCCAACAACACAACACATTGTATTAATATCATTACTACCTGTATTTACCACTTTTGCTGTGTTGGGGTGGAGGGAGTACTGTGAGCTTTGCTGTGTGGGGAGTACGGTGAGCTTTGCTGTGTGGAGGGAGTACGGTGAGCTTTGCTGTGTGGAGGGAGTACGGTGAGCTTTGCTGTGTGGAGGTGGAGGGAGTACGGTGAGCTTTGCTGTGTGGGGGTGGAGGGGGTACGGTGAGCTTTGCTGTGTGGGGGTGGAGAGAGTACGGTGAGCTTTGCTGTGTTGGGATGAAGGGAGTACGGTGAGCTTTGCTGTGTGGAGGGAGTACGGTGAGCTTTGCTGTGTGGAGGGAGTATGGTGAGCTTGCTGTGTGGGGGTGGAGAGAGTACGGTGAGCTTTGCTGTGTGGGGGTGGAGAGAGTACGGTGAGCTTTGCTGTGTTGGGATGAAGGGAGTACGGTGAGCTTTGCTGTGTGGAGGGAGTACGGTGAGCTTTGCTGTGTGGAGGGAGTATGGTGAGCTTTGCTGTGTGGGGGTGGAGAGAGTACGGTGAGCTTTGCTGTGTGGGGGTGGAGGGAGTACGGTGAGCTTTGCTGTGTGGGGGTGGAGGGAGTACGGTGAGCTTTGCTGTGTGGGGTTGGAGGGAGTACGGTGAGCTTTGCTGTGTGGTAGGGGTACAGTGAGCTTTGATGTGTGGGGGGGGGGGGGGGGCATGCAGGTTAGGATTTTATTTTTGCTTGTGACAGAAAACAAATCCCCAGTCTTACTGAGAACTTGAATCTAGGACTCGCATGAGAGCCCTTAATTCTTAGCCGTTCGGCCAGCTGCTCCTCAACATGAGGAGCAGCCGTACACACAGTGTACCAGCCAAATAAAACAAAAAGGCAGTGCAAGGATTAAATTGTATTTTTATAGCATTTGAGAGATTTATTATGAGATTAACCAAGTTTTAAACCATTTTCTGCAGATATGTGGACGCCAGTTTCATACAGGTCAACGTTTGCGGAATCACATGGCAAGTCATGAGATCGGTAAAAATCACTGTTGCAATATTTGTGGCAAGCTGTTTGAGAGCAAGAAAAAGCTGGACACTCATGGGCTGGTCCATAACCTCACTAGCAAGCATGATCAGAACTTACAGTGCTCAGACTGCGGCCGCCAGTACACAGAGTGGATTGCTTTCAAGCAACACATGAAGACTCATGGAGCAGAAGGGGTTCAGTATCCGTGTGGTCTCTGTGAGAAGATATTCCCCACCCAGTATGAGAAGGAGAAACACAAGCGAGTGCACAAACAAATACAGTGTGAGTTTTGTGAGAGATTCTTCAGGTCTGCTTCAGTATTATCTGTCCATCTGAGAGTACACACAGGTGAGCGCCCTTATAAGTGTGGTCTCTGTGAGCGGGATTTCTCTCAGGCTTCAGTGTTGAAAGTTCACATGCGTACACACAGAAAGGAAGGCAAGTACGACTGTAAGAGATGTGACAAGATGTACATTGATGTCATGGATTACTTCAGACACCACATGGCTCACTTGGAAGAGGGAAATCTGCAATGTGAGGAGTGTGGGAAAATGTTTGAAAGCATCAACAACAAGAACCGACACATGGCTGCCCATCGGGACAGAGCCGGGCGGATTTGCCAGGTGTGTGGGAAAGAGTTTGGTAGAATGTCACACTTAGAGGCCCACATGTTGTGCCACTCGGACCAGCTGCCTTTGTTGTGCAAGGTCTGTGGCAAAATGTTTCCATCGGAGGAGGTCTTAAGTGCTCATTACTCATCTCACGTGACAGGAGAGCTGCCTTCTACGCCCACAATGACACCAGCTAAGGGCCCACTTTTCTGTGGCCTTTGTGGTAAAATGTTTAAGGGGCAAATGTTTCTAAACAATCACATGAAGAGGCATGAGAGGGAAGGGCTGGATGCCCGAGGTGGCGATCAGGTCCCAGATGAAGATGTGGTGGAAGTGGAAGGTGGGGAGTTTACATGCCAGGAATGTGGAAAGACTTTCGGACAGAAGCACCATCTGACAGTTCACAACCGTGAACACACTGGAGAACGCCCCCATACGTGTATTTTGTGTGGTCAGAGTTTTACGTTGCGGAAACTTCTGCTAGAGCATATAAGTGATCACAAGCGTAACGGACTAATGATGTACACTAACCAGAAAGTGCCATCATTGAAGAACAATGCCGCAGATTCCAGGCCCTTAGATGACTCTTTTCCAGACAGTGAAAGTGGGTCCGAAACGGAGACAGATCATGAGGATAGTGAAAATGTGATATCAAAACCAGCAGCAGTTTCTCATTCAGCATATGAACAAGGGCATCCTCCCGGCCCGTCTCATATTTCTCACAGTTTATTTAGAGAGGGGAATTACTCTCACCCCCAAAGCAGCTCATTCCCAGAGAAGACTTACCCTTGCAGCAGTGACAATTCCTTCTCCGACAAACTCTACGTGGAAACTCACGGAAACAGTTACCAAGACAAGCTCTATCCCAGGACAGCAAGCACCCCCTTTACAGACAAAAATTATATTTCTAGTCCTGGGAGTTCATACATAAACAGCTCACACAGTTCTATCCAGGAAAAGAGCTACTTAGGAAGCCCAGATAATTCTTTTACTGAGAAGAATTTTATGCAAAGCCCAAATAGTTCAGTTGGAGACAAGCGCTATGTGGGAAGTCCAAATCCTTTGTTTTCAGATAAAGGTTACGCTGATGGCAGAAGATTATCGTATTCAGATGAAAACATTAATATGATAAAAAGAAATCATTCTCCTGTATCTAGTTCTGATGGACATCTTCATCCTTATGGTGTTTCTAGAAATCCCTACAACTTACCAGTGTCTTCATCTGGCCACATGGCATCAAACACTGCACAGGTACATCGAGGTATGCAAGAAGAGACTTACTCACAAACAGATATCCATCTACCTCACAGTGATAGAATGCCACATGGGATCCACTTGCCCCCCATGAAACCTTCTGTCATGCACTCCAATGTCTCAATGATGCGTCCGGAACCTCATTTACCTCCCGGCATTCAAATACCAGCACTTCAGGATTACAAACATGACATCAGCTCCCATGTGTTTCCCTATAACAAGTCTTACATGCCAGGCGGCATCAACAGTTTGCCATCACGCAGCAGCTTCCCTGCAGACTTTCATGCTCCTGCAGGCAGATTTGCAGCAGATTCACATCTGCAGATGACCAACTTCCAGCTGCTTCCACAGACTGCTTTCCCCGAAAACTCCCATCAGACTTGATTAGCCATGTCTAGCCGTCTTCGTTCACAACATCCTGATTCCTGTAAAGATGTTTTCTCATGAATTCTGAGTTCAGATTAATGAACCTACATCTCTGTGTGAGTTCTTTTTCCTCATTGGAAGGGGGGGGGGGGGACTTCTGGTGCCCAAACAAGCTTGTCATATAAGTTGACTAATTAGGGATGTGTTCTTCGAAGTCTAGAAGTGAACTAACAATCATAATTTTTCGTCGGAGTTTACAGCCAGTGAATGCAAAGAAGATTTAACTTGCTGATCTCAGGCTGTTTAAATTATTGATTTTTATGGATGCAGTTTAGTTTTGTCTAATTTTTAATTCCTGCACTTCTTCTTCTTCTTCTTACAATTCTTCAGTGAAATGTTGATCTTCTGTCTAATACAGATCCTTAGATAAGAGGATGAGAGATGCAGTTAAATTATGAGCTCCTGCAAAAGAAACTGTTTAAACATAAAAGCATAATAAAAACACTGGAGATTGTAGAAATATATTTTTGACAGGAATTCATGCTGCATGATACATTTTAATCTAGCAAACTTGTTGTGCCTCACCTAATGGTTAAAAGTCAGTTGCACTTCGTTGCACTGTGTTTTATCCAGTGTGGCTTGTTCTCTGTCAGTTGAATGGCTAGCTGCCTGCCGAGAGTATTGCATACACATTCACAACACCAAAGATAATCCCTAGGAATCTTTGTAAACATTGCACTCATTACCCAAGTGACGCAGTCCTTGAAATCAACCCATAACTCCCTGTGTGGGTCCAAGGGTCCCATTTGGGGGAGGGGGGGGGGGGAAATAGACCCACATGTCTCAGAAATGGAAAAATGATCCATTACTTTTGAATAATAAGATGAATTGTGACAACATGTCTCAAGATGTGAGAAAATGATGCATTAATTTTCACTTATTAAATGAATTGTGTCTTCCATGTGATTGTATAAAATATTTGCTAATACAACAGCACATGTGTATATGTTCACATCTGCTTTGTTATAATTGATCTAAGGAATCAAACCAAAAATCCCCACATGTTGCACATTCTCAGAGCTAATCTGGTGCAGAAATGTGCACAGAGAAGAAGTATTTAGAACATCGAAATGATACACATTTTCTTCTGATTTACAGCTTCCAGTGGAGTTTGGCAGCTCAAATAAGCATCACCTACAAAGCATACTCATTCACAGTCTATGCTACCAGTGCCAGACATAGTCACTCCTCACAGCAAACCACAAAGGAACATTAGAAAATGGGACGTCTGGGAAGGGTTGCAGGAGTGACCAGGACAGTTAAAATCTGAAACTAGGTAATAATAGAAAAAGTAGGCACAGAACCAATTCTTCTTCGTGTTCACTGGCTGTAAACTCCATGGAATATTCTGAGTGTGGTCTTGTTCCAGAGCCTGAGTGTTGTGTGCACATACATTTCACAGGTCTGATTTATCTTTATGCAGACTCTTAGTTCCTTGCTTTTTAGACAGATCTACCTACTCTTACTTCGAAGGATATCTCCAATTAGTCGGCTCCTACAAGGGGGCAGTGGGCCTGTTCTTGTTTTCCCTACAATAGAGCCCTGGAACCCACATGGGGAACAGAACTAAGTTACCCACAAAAACAGCAAACCAGATGGTTTTCCCACTTAAAGAGAATGCCTTGCTCACTTAGAGAGAATGCCTTGCTCACTTAGAGAGAATGCCTTGCCGACCATTTAGGGAGAATGCCTTGCTCACTTAGAGAGAATGCATTGTGACACCATACCATACAAGGCATACTCCAAAAAAGTAGGATGTAGAACATGAGGTAGACCAAGAAGAAGATGGAAAGATTACATCAGAGAAACTCTACAACAGTATCATGTGTCAATGATCGGGGCGGCCAGAAGAGCAAGAAACAGAACCTTCTATCTTCCTCAACAAAAGAGAAAGAGAAGTGGGGAATAAAAGGAAGTGGAGCTTTTGCCCCGAACTAAGTCAAAGCCAAGCTTTTTTTTTTTTTTTTTTTTAGATATAATTATATCTGGTTGGCTTTTGCAACTATTTTTTTTTTTAGTTGGATGAGATAGCCAGTCTAATGCTAACACTCCTGTGTCATGTCGTCTCTGGTGTCATGTGGATAGTTGAGATTCTACTGTTCTATCTTTCATTTATTGGTCCAAATAACTAGCCAGTGTCATGCCAACACTCTTGTGTCATGTCATCTCTGGTGACATGTGGGAAAGGTAGAGATGTTACTGTTCTATCTTTCATTTATTGGTCCAAATAACTAGCCAGTGTCATGCCAACACTCTTGTGTCATGCCATCTCTGGTGACATGTGGGAAAGGTAGAGATTTTACTCTTCTTTGTTAGGGAGTAGTGGGTCTTGCCACCATCACCTCCCCTCCCTCCCCCCCCCCCCCTTCCCTTTTCTGAAAAGTAGTATGTCTACTTTAGGTTGAGAATTAATAGGTGGCTAGAAAATAATCCACATGTGATAGGTAAAGATAGGATGATTTCGTGTGGGCAGTTTGAGTGCTGTTGCTCCATTAAGGAATACAGGAACAAGAAAATGATCTAAAAGCTTCATATTGTCTAGCAGTGGGGGGATACATGAAATCCTAATTATATCATACTTAGCAATCCTTTTTGTCTTGGTATTTCACACCGATACTTCGATACATGATTTCATATCTTACATTCATTCACACGTGAATAAGACTGTATATTTTAAAGATCCTTGCTTTTAAATCACACAATTTTAAATGTCTGATGAAAATAACAAAAGATATTTTCATGTTTTGAATTTACAATACATGCAATTTGTATACATGATACCCTTCTGCTGTGTTAACTTGACAGTTTTGTTTGTATTACCTGGATATTGAAGATGTGTGTGTATATCTCAACATTTAACCATTGCATTTACTGCTCCTGATTCAAATCATAATATCTGCATATCTATAGTTGCTAGTTTCTTTATTTCTATTGTATTCACAACATGAGAACTTTTAAATTGTAATGAATGTTGCAGTGTATCTGGTTTATTAATTCTGTATTTGAAAGTTGTGTCATCCATCAAATAATGGCAGTGTTGGCAACACAGTAAAATTATTAAAGAGAGGAGAAATAAAATGTGTTTAGTTATGTGTCAGATGAAGGATACAGTATAAAGCAGAAATTTTGAGGTACGCAAACTTTTTGTTTTATGACGTCAGACAAATTAAGCACAGAAGATGGAATCCTAAGGTTTGTTAACATTAAAAAGCTGAAATTGAGAGAATTGACTTCATTGCACCAGGTTTAATTCCATATGACCCGACCTCTCTCCATAGAACAGAGGGTGTGTAAAATGTAGACTTGTATTCTGAAGTCTGTAAAATGTAGACTGGTATTCTGAAGTCTGTACAGTGTAGACTGGTATTCCAAAGTCTGTAAAAGGTAGACTGGTATTCTAAAGTCTGTACAGTGTAGACTGGTATTCTAAAGCCTGTACAGTGTAGACTGGTATTCTAAAGTCCGTACAGTGTAGACTGGTATTCTGAAGTCTGTAAAAGGTAGACTGGTATTCTGAGTCTGTACATTGTAGACTGGTATTCTGAAGTCTGTAAAAGGTAGACTAGTATTCTAAAGTCTGTACAGCGTTGACTGGTATTATGAAGTCTGTACAATGTAGACTGGTATTTTGAAGTCTGTACAATGTAGACAGGAATTCTGAAATATGTACATAGGCAGACTAAAACGTTATAACAAGTAACGTTACTACACACTGGGAATTCCCACTGAAAGTATGAATTTGAAACAGGGAACAGATGGTAAAAATCATATCTGTCTAGTGACATAATAAACACTTATCAAAGAAATTAACACTTATCTCCATGACAACACCCATGCCATCGCTGTTTTGCTGCAGGTGAAAAACTGTACAAGTTTGCAGCAATCAAAAGAAAAAAAAGATAGAGGAGAAACACCTGAACAACACCTTGGTCATGATGTACATGGAAATATGAAAACAGTGGTTGGAAGTTGAGAAATTAACATATTTGTATCACGTAAATGTGAGCTTAATTCAACTATATAATGATTCACCTTCTGTTTACGATTGTTTTATTGTCCCCATACACATTTTTACTATGTTATTTACAATTTTTTATTTCTTGTTTTAATGTTATGTCCACCTGTGAACTACCGAAAACATTTGTATGCAGGAATCTAAGGTTGAAAGGATTATCCCAAATGTATTTTCTGCAGGTCAGTATTGTAGATAACTAACTTGTGAATGGTCTCTGTTGGGAGGTGGTTGTGCCTCAAGCTGTGATGGTTTTGTGTATGTTTTTTGCTGTGACATTCATTTTAGGCATTCATTTCTTTTAAGAGTTATCTCAGGTTCGATAGAGGTTGTGTTTTATATGCTCTTTTGACAGGTAACCGGCCATTTTGTGAGAGACGGAGCCAGGTGAAAAAGTCTAATGCAGTCTTTTCTCCTTCTTCACATTTATTGGCTGTAAACTACGGCAGAAAGTTCTGATTGTTCATTCACTTCTGGACTTTGGTCTTATTCCAGAACTTGAGATTTGCATGCACATCCATTTTACAAATGTGGCTTATTTGTATGCAGACTGTTGGTCCCTCGTCTCTCAGGTGGATGTACTCTGACTTTGAAGAAAACACCCCTGATTAGTCATTTTTTTACAACATGATTGTTTATGTTTAAACAATGGATCAACATCATGGCACAAGGGTAGTTTACCCATAAGTGCTCTATTCTACTTCTAGCTCAGGTCTGAGACTGAGGAAGCTCAGAGAACTCTGTTGCACCGGTGAGGATCCTGAATTACTTTGGGTAGATTTGTAACTCTAAATTTTGCCAGGGCAGGACCGTTAGGCTACACTTTTTGATTTCCAGCTGCCAAGGGATTCTTTTACGTGCGCAACAATACACACGGGCGTTCAATCTTACCACCCAGAGACCAGGGGAAATTACTAGAAGTCCATGTGAAAAAATCGCAGCCTTC